TTTATTTTCATCCCCTACATGCTTCAATCCTTCAAAGCTCTCACTGTAGAGGAAAAAAGCCTTTGGAGGGCATAGAACACAACACACCTTTAGTTTTCTTGCTTACAACAACAAAAAAATTAATTATTTTCTAAGATACACCAAAGAAAGGTGACTATATGCATTGGACATGTTTGATGCTACTGAGCTTTGAACAATCCAGTCAGATCGGGAACTGAGATAAAATGCTAATACGTGACAGAGAGTCCTTAGATCTCATTCCCCGCAGGTCCTCTTTTTGTGTTTTACTAGAGGCCAACACTCTTGTAGTGCATGCATGTATTTATATACGCATCTGCGTGAGTGTGTGCGCTTGTCTTGTGATTGTGTTCATGAGTGAGTCTGCTGGGCGCGTACGGCTGCGTGCAGGATTATTGCGCGCTGGAAACAGAAGCGAGACTAAGTTTGCACTAAGCTGAGGAGCCTAAATGCAAAAATGTGTAAGAAAATCCGCAGAGGTTTGTGTCTGTGTGTGTGCATCACTGGGCTTTCTTTTGGTGTGCAATGGCATTCAGGAAAGAGGATTATACTGCACAGTGTGAGGTGACAGTGGAGGATGTGTATATTAGAGATGCGTTTTTTTGTTCTCAGCTACAGAATTTGTGTGTGAGAGAGAGAGAGAAAGAAGGAGACTAGCTTTGTTTGCCTGAGAGTAAACGAACTGAAAGTCTGTCTCAATCAGTAGGTCTGTGAGTCTCTGATAAAGATGAAACACACACTATAGATCCCTATAAGACGATTTGTGTGTCTATCAGGAGTTGTTTGCCAACATAGTCTCAAGACAATTTGCAAGTATTTTACGATTTGATGAGCTGGTTGCAAATTCATATGAATCTGTATAATCTCATTTGTACATTTTTGTACTGCTCAAGCCCCCCTGATGGTTAAGTTTAGGGATGGACCTTCACAATGAAGTTTAACAACAAATCATTCATTTTCGTCAGATTGTACGAATTGATAAGAAATGGCCAACTCATGCAATACTTATGTATTCTCATGAGATGTAGAATGAAGATCACTCCTTGTTTTCTCCTTTGAGGCAAGGGAGTCAGCGATCATAAAACACAAGAGGAAGCAGTGCCTCCAAGTCACCATGGTTATCATGTTTATCTGATAAAGCCCCTATCATGATCACAAATAGTCCACATATCCTGAATGTCAAACTAGTGAAAACAGAACAAACAACTCACTCATCACTTTCACATCATTATTACCCATCAACCTTCTGTCACATCTAAATAAAAAAACATGATGGTCCGTAAGTGGTGCCATTTTAACCATTTTACAGTTTGTGATGTATTTATGTTTTTATTTAACACTTGTAAATCTAGCAAATTTCTCTTTCAATTTACTTTAAAGGGTGTACTATCATGGGGTCAGTATTTAGCAAGGATGCACTAAATGGATCAAAAGTAACAGTAAAGCTATTTTGTTACAGTGTTACAAAAGATTTCTATTTCAAATACTGTAAATGCTGTTCTTTTGAATCAAAGACAGTATCACGGTACCCAAGTTTTCCACAAAAAATATTAAGCAGCACTGTTTTCAACATTGAGAATAAATACTAAAAAAAATGTTTTGTCTTGAGCATTACCATATTAGAATGATTTCTGAAGGATCATGTGACACTGAAGACTGGAGTAATGACTGTTGAAAAATTCAGCTTTGCCAGCAGAGGAATAAATTACATTTTAAAATATATCAAAATACAAAACAGTTATTTGAATTTGTAATAATATTTCACAATATTACTATTCTTACCGTACTGTTGATCGAAATAAATGCAGCCTTGGTGAGCATTAGAAGTTTCTTTGAAAAAGAATGTGACCATTTTGCCGGTCACCTAGAACAAACAAAAACTAATAGCACATATTACACAGACTCAAAACAGACACACTGCTTTCTGCTCTGTTTCTGAAAAACACCAATACCCCATGGCTCACTGTTCATGCATACAGCACAATCCAGAAAATAGCACTATAAAGACAGCAATACTGAAAATCTCCTGATAAATGTATTCTTTTCTTATGTTATGTGACTACATTTGTCACCACCGACAGACAACATAACCCGAGGAACAGGAGCAGCACATTCTGAGGATTAAAGCTGTGAGATGAGGGAATAAAGTGGGAGACATTAGACAGACACTCAGGCTCATAATGGTAGAGTTGATGATGCTTAGCAGTAATGATGACGCTGACGCTGAAGCAGGAGTGGCAAGACCACAGGGCTCGACACTTACTCCCAACTGTGTAATTATACAATGTACAGAGCAACACCGCAGCTCGTTTACAAAGGCTGACTGCTCAAAACTAGATGAGGAGCAAATTAATAACCCGTGACTCCGGCAGCAGCGGGGTACAATAACATCACAACTGCGAGGTGACTAAACATAGTTGAATCATTTTAAAGGAGATAGAGGTCATAAATGATGTGGCCAACTGTCCTGATCAGCCACTTGCATCCGTTATCATATCCTTTAGTTATTTTCACTTTCTTTCAAGGATGAAAATTCGATGTTGTTCCAAACATGCGTGGCTTTCTTTTTTTCCACTGAACGCAAAAGGAGTTTGCCTGAAGTTCATAACTTCCATACAATGAAAGTGGACCAGAGGTTGTCAAACTCCAAAAGGACAAAGAAGCAACATAAAAGGATCATAAAAATAGTCTATATAATTTGCACACTTCATTCCAAGTATTTTGAAGCCATTTGATAAGTTTGTGTGAGGAAGGAATTTAGGTAAAAAAAAAAAATCATGCATGACAGCCGTGGTCACTTTCATTGTATGGAAAAGAGCAGCCTGGATGTTCTGCTACAAACAGCCCAAATTAATAACCCGTGACTCCGGCAGCAGCGGGGTACAATAACATCACAACTGCGAGGTGACTAAACATAGTTGAATCATTTTAAAGGAGATAGAGGTCAGAAATGATGTGGCCAACTGTCCTGATCAGCCACTTGCATCCGTTATCATATCCTTTAGTTATTTTCACTTTCTTTCAAGGATGAAAATTCGATGTTGTTCCAAACATGCATGGCTTTCTTTTTTTCCACTGAACGCAAAAGGAGTTTGCCTGAAGTTCATAACTTCCATACAATGAAAGTGGACCAGAGGTTGTCAAACTCCAAAAGGACAAAGAAGCAACATAAAAGGATCATAAAAATAGTCTATATAATTTGCACACTTCATTCCAAGTATTTTGAAGCCATTTGATAAGTTTGTGTGAGGAAGACAGTGAAATTTAGGTAAAAAAAAAAAAATCATGCATGACAGCCGTGGTCACTTTCATTGTATGGAAAAGAGCAGCCTGGATGTTCTGCTACAAACAGCCACTTTTTAAACACAATTGTGATTAATTTTCTATTTTTTATTCTAAGAATTTTTTTAAGAGTTTTGAAGATTATAACTATTATATTTTTTTGTGGAACCTGCACTAAAAAGACAAATATGTAACCATTGCATCAGTTTTTGTAGCTGTGATGACAAACAACTGCATATCTTTGTTTTCAACCTGAAGAATAAAACTCTGTAAAAAGCCTAATGAACTGTCTTTATGTTACATGTAATGTGAGAGTTGCAATCAATGAAATACAACAAATTCGGCAATATACCTTTAAATTTCAGAACTCACAACCATTTCTTATTAGATCCTGAGCATAATTCTCAAAAACATTCACCTTTCTTCTATCTTACTTTTACATTCTTACAGTTTTCATAATCAGTATTTTTCACCCACTTGTGTTCAAGTAATTAAACTACTATGATAGCCATAGTAAAAAAAAAAAAGTAATATATTCGAAATACATTAATTTCATACAAAGTTTAGTTCAAATCTATTAACATATTTACTGACATATCGTTTGAGACTTACTGATATAAAAATTATAATTAAACTTTATTTGGAGTACTACTTGTGCACAATGCATATTTCTTAATATGTAGCCTAAAATGTGTTTTAATGTCACTATTGATGAGGATTGTATGATCTTTGAATAATATCAGTCTTTAAATGCAAGATATTTAAAGTGTACCTGATGTATACTTGAAATAGTTCCACTTTAGCAGAATCAAATATACTTTTCAAATATACTTTCAGCACTACTTCCACACAATTGAAGAGCATTAAGTACAAAATTAGTTGTTCCGGTTTAGTATACCAAAAGTACAATTGCAAGGGATTATTATTAAGTGCATAAATATTTAAATGTATTTGTTGTATACTCATCATGAAATAAATGTATTTCACTTATTTTTCACAAGGGAGGTACTCGATAAATCAGTAACACTTTACAATATGGTTCCATTTGTTAATTTTGACATGAACTATCAATGATACTTCTAAAGCTACAATATACTTTTAAAGCGTTTATTAATCTTAATGTTAATTTCAACAATTACTAAAATCAAAAGTTGTATCTGTTAATATTATTTAATGGATTTGAGCTAACAATTATATTTTGTACTTTTATTAACTAACAGCGTTGACTAATGGGACCTTATTGTAGTGTTACCAGTAAATCTTATTCTTGTTATGAAGAACTGGGCTATTAACTCCAGTGTGTGACTCATTATTGAGGATTGCTCCAATAGTGAGCACTAGAGGACAGCAGTGAGACGGCAGTGGGATTGGGATGAGTAAATTTACCCAGGGAGATTTCTGAGGCACTATTGTTCATGAATGTTTAATGTGTTTCTTCTCTGTGTTTTAATAATTCTGTTAATTAAAATCACACTGAGGAAGTACACTCCTGCCCTGCTGCTGCTGTTGTTTTAACATATGTTTTACATCTATTTGTCATCTTAGCTGCCTGACAATGAACATTTGATATATTTTAGGATTTTCAATGCATGATTAATGATATGAATAATTAATATTTTCCTGTGGATGTTACTATTTTTTTCTCTCTCAAAGATAATTAATTTCCTACTTGGCACTTTCTTTTTCTTGTTTTATTTTAGAAATTTACTTCACGAAACAGCGAAAAGCAGCTAGATCTCCAGCTGTACGTGTGACCTGACTGGACTGACGCCATGTTTTGGACGCTCCTCCTGGCTTTGATCCTTCTGCTGTTGCTCCAGGCACAGCTGCTTGTTTGTCTACGTGAACTCCGAATCTCTCTGACCTCAGTGACTTCAGCGACCCCTTCTGGAACTTCCAATGCCTCGGCTTTGCAACGCCTGCCAGGAGCCATAATCATCGGGGTGCGCAAAGGAGGCACCAGGGCCCTGCTGGAGATGCTCAACCTCCATCCAGATGTGGAAGTAGCCAAGAACGAGATCCACTACTTCAACCTGGATGAAAATTTTCGGAAGGGTCTGGACTGGTATCGTGCCCAGATGCCCATCACTCTCCCTGGGCAGCTGACGGTGGAAAAGACCCCTGGCTACTTCACAGCACCACTGGCCCCAAAGAGGATATGGGCCACGAATCCAGCTGTGAAACTGCTGCTGATCGTTCGTGACCCTGCAGAGAGACTTGTATCAGACTACACACAAGTCCTCCATAACCGAATTCAGCAAAACAAGCCATACCAACCACTTGAAGAGCTGCTGCTGTCTCAAGGACACATCAATCCCAAATACAAGGCCCTTCAGAGGAGCTTTTACTACCAGCACCTTGCCAGATGGTTGGAGCTTTTT